GGGACACACTGATTCATTCTTATCCTTAATCACCTTCCTTTGACAATAGTCATCTATGGAAATCAGCTGTACAGATACTGTCATATAGGAGCACTTGCCAGCTGGGTAGAGGTCAAGCACTAAGTTTCACAGTGCACACAGGACTCCTGCAGAATGAATGCATTTTCTACTTCACTACAGCGGCATAGAGATTGGCCCATTTTCTTAATTACGGAAGAGTAAAGTGGATTAGGGAAGGACAGGTTAGGATAACTGCTGTTTTTCCAGTAAGGGTAGAGATTAGCAGCAATTCTCTTTAATGAGAGTAAAATTGTTACCTTGCATATGAAGAAAAGCTACAGACCTGTTGGAATCTACCTGTATCTCTTGCAATAGAAGCTTAGATGGTGACTAACCATCTAGACTGTAATTTTTATTGCTATGGTTTTGCCAAACTGAACCACTGTCAGGAAAACCTGAAAATTTTCCATGTGAACTCTTTGCTTCATACTGATTTTAGCTGACCTTTTAAACTGAGTTTATGTAAGAAGTGTTTGTCTGTATGCAAAATTATAAAACCTTGATTTGATGAAGAAGGGTGGTCATCCAGGATAGCTCTTGCTGTTTTTCTGACTATCAACCTAAATCAAATTAACATACGAATGGCTACAAGCTATAGCCATTTTGTTTCCTACTTTTGTTCCTGCTAACTTTTGCAATGAACAGGACCAGGGAAAACAGTTCATAGTCATGAAATTAAAGACAGCATGACAATAGTACGTTCTGAACATGCCTGATTTCTAAGTGCTTGGTTTAACAGCGTCTCATGATTTTAATCCAATAAGAAATATCTCTCTTTTATATATGTATGGTGTCAATACGCCCTTTAGTGATGGAGATGGTATACCTTAAACTATTGGCAACTTCACTTACTAATTTTGAATAGTCATTATGGTACACAGTTTAATGAGTCACATACAATTTCTCAATGAAACATTGTATTATCAGTGAGCTTTTCAGCATCATTTGAATTTGCCTTAAATACAATTAATACTTTGAACAAAAAGAAATGCTGAAAAATAATTATAAAATGTTCTCAGTTATCTTCTTTAACTTTTCATTTTTACATACATCATTCTCTAAAGATTTTCTAAATTGAACTATTCTGTTTCTGTTTGAGAATTATTTTTTGTGTAG